TTTATGTTGTGAGTATAGTCAACCATACAACTGTTTCTGTAATGACTACAACAGGTTTAAACAGAGTCATGGGTGTCAGACACTAGTCAGTTATCTAAACAAGATTAACAGTAGTGGTTAAGTGTTTATGTTGTGAGTATAGTCAACCATACAACTGTTTCTGTAATGACTACAACAGGTTTAAACAGAGTCATGGGTGTCAGACACTAGTCAGTTATCTAAACAAGATTAACAGTAGTGGTTAAGTGTTTATGTTGTGAGTATAGTCAACCATACAACTGTTTCTGTAATGACTACAACAGCTTTATACAGAGTCATGGGTGTCAGACACTAGTCAGTAATCTAAACAAGATTAACAGTAGTGATTAAGTGTTTATGTTGTGAGTATAGTCAACCATACAACTGTTTCTGTAATGACTACAAGAGGTTTAAACAGAGTCATGGGTGTCAGACACTAGTCAGTTATCTAAACAAGATTAACAGTAGTGGTTAAGTGTTTATGTTGTGAGTATAGTCAACCATACAATTGTTTCTGTAATGACTACAAGAGGTTTAAACAGAGTCATGGGTGTCAGACACTAGTCAGAAATCTAAACAAGATTAACAGTAGTGGTTAAGTGTTTATGTTGTGAGTATAGTCAACCATACAATTGTTTCTGTAATGACTACAAGAGGTTTAAACAGAGTCATGGGTGTCAGACAGTTGTCAGACATCTAAACAAGATTAACAGTAGTGGTTAAGTGTTTATGTTGTGAGTATAGTCAACCATACAACTGTTTCTGTAATGATTACAACAGGTTTAAACAGAGTCATGGGTGTCAGACAGTAGTCAGACAGTAGTCAGTAATCTAAACAAGATTAACAGTAGTGGTTAAGTGTTTATGTTGTGAGTATAGTCAACCATACAACTGTTTCTGTAATGACCACAAGAGTCATGGGTGTCAGACAGTAGTCAGTTATCTAAACAGACACTCAGCAAAGAAGGACCAGGAAGAACTGTTTGAGGCATGGCAAATATATAAGGATGACGAACTGAGCCCTGCGCTGCACTCCAAAACATGGGCTCATGAATCTATGGCCCACCACGTCAGTGGAATGATTGCAGTGGAATGTGCATGATGATGTGTCAAGTGATGATGCCTGTGGTGACTTTAAAGATGTGTGAATTGTGAACATTTGAACTACTTATAAATATTTAATCACATATCAACTGTCAAGTGCATGATGAGTGAATGAGTGAGTTTTACGCCGCTTTTAGCAATATTCCAGCAATATCACGGCGGGGGACACCAGAAATGGGCTACACACCTTGTACCTATGTGGGGAATCGAACCTTGGTCTTCGGCGTGACGAGCGAACGCTTTAACCACTTGGCTACCCCACCGCCCCAAGTGTATGATGATCACACTATAAATCATTACTTTTGTAACTATTTACATATTGATACAAATATATATATGAATAATAAATATTAAGATAATAAAACATAAAATATATATTAGTTTGTACGTTCTGGTTTTTTTACCTATGACCCTTTTGACTTTCCGTTGACCCTTTTGACTTTCCTTTGGCCCTTTTGACTACAACCCCCTGTGCTTCAGAGAGAAGTGGATAAGACTCCTACAAATTGTCACCGGGAGATTGATTCGGACCATCCTCCTCCTGTCCTATTCCTTGATTGTTTGCATCCTCACAATCCACAGACAACATGGTCTCTCGATTGTCATCATATACCTAATTCTTTCTTTCTCCTTTCTGTACTGAACCATACAATTAATATATAAGTCTCAATGTGTGGACATTTGGCGGTCAAATGATACTTGCATTTCAAACCATTGTTACATATAGAGCTCGGATTGTACGGTCGTTCCCCAGCATTAAGTGATTTGGAAAACAACCGTCAACAGATAAATCTTGTTAAATCAGAAATGTCCTTGAGTTGTTTGGTCAACTGTAAATAATTCTGAAAGATTACCCTCGAAATGAACAGCTAGTCAGCACCTAATATTGATTTAATGTGAGCGACACCACAAGTTGTCATAATTCTGAGAATCTTCATGCAATCTTGTGTCAGTCGAAATATCATTACCTGCTCATAAATTCTTGAAGGTGAACATGTACACATGAATTGTAAGAGATCTAAAGTGGGAATAATCCCCGTTTTGAAAATATCTGCCACAGATTCTGCCTTTCTTTGTCTCCCACCCATTAGTCTCCCTACATAACCACTGACGTGTAACGCACCGAGCTCAACCTTGTCAGTGTATGGCTGTTAGACATCTCTTTGCTTCTACAGACCGATGCATATTTCATGTATCCAATCAATGTGCCAAAGCGAGGTAGCAGCCTAAACAAATGCGTTGTCAGTGGCACTCACCTCAAAGTAAAAAAGAAGGTATCTATCTACCTCTTGACTAATTGTGTCAAATATTCGAAACTTTTTTTTTCACACAAAACCCTCAATGTGGTCAAAAGCGACTTCCGATAGTACATTCATGTTGTTGATTGATCTGCATATTTTCCTACTTACCCACGCACCGACTTTAATGCCTAACCGAAGAAACTTCACCACAAATGGAACCCACCTAAATGCTACAATGTTTAAGTTCTATATATTTTAGCTGATACACGTACGTGGTTTTAAAATGACCACGTCTGTATTTTAGTGTCACATATGCCATGCTTGTCGGACAATGTAGACCCATGTGAAGGTAATGTTGTCTGTATGTACTTCGTGTGACACGATAATAAAATAGTTTCCTTCTGAAGAGATACGCTGGGGTACAACTAGCAACAACTAAAACAGAGGTAGGGCTACTTGTGCTGATCCAACAAAAAATGACAATGTTATTGAACCTGTTAAACAAGCTTTGATCTTGACATTGTAAATAATTAATTAACACTTCATGTCAGCGACGATCCTTGTACTACTAACATTCCGTTTTGATAAAAATAACCTGTGCAACACAACGTTTTCCTGGTAGACAACGGAAGGCATCTTTTACATTACAAATTCTTGGCATAATTTGTGGAAACAGATCAAAACACAGAAAAGACCCGTATTTTAATTTAAAAATCCGAGGGTGGAAGAAGAGTTAATAAGCACTGGCTTCATCGTTGGAATTGCAAAACGTGTCAAATACAGAGAAAGTGATTTAAAACCAGTAACGAAGTTCTTCACAATACTCAAATGTTGCTCGTCATTTTTTTAATGGTCTGTTTCAGGGTACTGCCGTTTTCGATATGTAATATTGAGAAAAAGTAGCTATGAACAACTTCATAGAAGGTAACGGAAGGAAGAAGGCTGTTCATTGCACATGTAGCCAATGTAACGCAATCGGGTTTATCCGAGCAACATATCACAAAGAGTGCACTAGAAGAGCATGCGCGCTTGAACAAGCACATAATGAAACGCTGGCTTCAGGCAGCAACTGTGTGTTAGTCTATGTCATGTTGTCCCTTAACATCAGCACAAGTTTTGCAGTGATGTTAATAGAATTCGATCTTCTGAGACGATCACTACCTGACACGGAAAACCATGTCTTGTCGCGACCTCAGCATATTCGGGTAACCACTGCGTACAGCGTAGTGGAAGGTTCACTTAGTGCCTACATAAAGGATGGGGTGCTCTGGCGTCATACAACGGTGACTGACAGGATATATGTGGTTTAGGAAACTGGTACGTATAACACGTCAGTGTCCTAGTGTCGTTACCCTGTCCTAGTGTCGCTACCCTGTCCTAGTGTCGTTACCCTGTACTAGTGTCGTTACCCTGTACTAGTGTCGTTACCCTGTACATGTTTTTGGAAAACCACTAATTGACCACGGGTCTTATGCATGTACCAACACATATATATGTCGACAGGGGAACTAGCTCAGAATGGAGACGAACAATACGTTCAGACTTCGTCAGTTGACTATATAATACATGATAAACAAATACACGAGACAGTAATGAGCTGGGTTGCCGGCTCAGACATAAATGAGGTGAGAGGAGTTCCAGCTCAACTCTAGGGGATTTTCTACTACGAGCGGCATTATCCTGCTCGCGGTCGTCCCTACACAGACAGACGGAATACCGGACTGGTGACAGTATAGATGTCCTGTGCATAGAGCTCAGGTTACAAATCAGTTAAAGTTAAGCAACGTTGATCACGGAGAGTTCTTGGATGGGTGACCGTGTTTGGCAGCTTGACTCCTGAGAGATTCTAGGACATCAGTCCTGCCCCACAACGAAGCACGTGATACATGTGGTCTCACCTTAGGCAAGTGAGTTAGTTAAAATTACGTTGTTCACCCAGCAGAAAATGGGTACCCGGTCGGATAAGTCATGCGACTATTAACCTTCTGGCGGGTTATCCGGGGTAATAATGTGCTGCGCTTTGATTGTTAGCACTATGAGCATTCACCTAGTGGATGGAGTTTTGCACATTATAAATGCACTTATTATTATTATAGTTATAGACAGCCATGAATAAACGAAGAGTTAACAATGGACATGTAAAGAAACAATAGCACTTCCTTGGACCAGTTGATATGATGGCAGACGCGGCCAAGGGGGATGACCAATGAAGGCTATAAATGTCATATACAGTGATTAATGGAAGTGACAGAGTGGTCGGGTTGACTGACAAGTCAATGTACACCGCGGTAGTGATAAGGAATACGAATGCATATTAGCGTCATATAAATACTAGTAATTACAATTAAGTCCCACGTGGCTTGGCTACATAGTTTTTGGTCTTTTGAAATATTTGGACAATGGCTGTCCTGAATTAGCCGCTATCACACATGGCTAAAGTCTTTATGTCCGCAGAAGTACCTCGCCACCTTATTCACCCTGAATGAATTTTACATTGTTTCTATCAACAGGATGAAAGTAACTCAAACAGGCAACATATTCTGACGATATGAATACCCCGCCACAAGAAAAAGTACTGTATACCTCGCGACTGGATACCACCACCTGGGTACCCACATCGAACAATTCTTACAGCATTCTCGGAAATCGAGGTGCGGAATATTTCCATTTCTACACTTCAGGTGTAATGGGATCAGTATTCGTCGTTCTTGGTATTGTAGGTAACATTTTGTCTGTGTGCGTTTTGTGCAGCAAGCAGATGAGACGCGGTTCTGCGTCTGTGTGTCGACTCCTTGTGGGTCTGGGCGTCTATGATACCGTCTTCCTCTTCTCGCATGGTGTGGCAGGGAACCTACCCCACGTCCTCCATCACATGGGGATACAACTTGGCTCAGCTGGGGCAGTCATGTTCTCCATCTTCTACCCGCTGCTGCACATATCCCGCACCGGGTCAGTATACACAACAGTGATGGTCACAGTAGAGAGATGTGTGGCAGTTGTCAAACCTCTCAAGGCAGCAGTCGTCTTCACTCAGAAACGGACCAACCAAATTCTGGTGGCAATCTTAATGTTCAGCTTCATCTTCAATATTCCGCGCTGTATGGAGCATAGGCTAGACATAGAGTCTAGTGCAATCATTCTCTCAAAGTCAGTTTTCTACAGTACGACCTTCTACAGTACAATATATTTAGTATATTTTAATTTCATCTTCAACTTCGTCGTGCCATTTACACTCATAGCATTTTTTAACATCACCATGCTCAATACCATAAGGAAGTCTCCAAATTTTTTCCCAAACCGGATCAAAACAGAAGCTCACATCTTGGTGCGGACAAACCAGTCTCAGAAGAGCGATGCAGTCGGAACCGGAAACAGACTTTTTGCAATTGTTTCAGCGGTTACAATCGTTTTCTTTCTGTGTCATCTTGTTCCAGCTGTGGCCCTGGTGATGGAGCAGATGGAGCACGCCCAGAGACTGGGAGAATGTTCGTCAACTTGCTCCAAGATCTCGTCAGTGGGAGAAATGTTTATCATTGCCTGTTCAGCCGTCAACTTTCTATTGTACTGCTTCTTTGGACGAAAATTCAGATATACGTTTATGATGTTTTGTAAATCTGTTGGAAAACACCGATCTACAAGTGTAAAAGGTTCGTTCATAAGTTCCCTGAAGAGAACAGCTGATTCCAAGGTATGAAATGTAATGCATAAAACAATTTTCTCGCTACATACAGTTGGAGTGAATCAACATGAAAAGGATTCAGACACATCAAATACAAAGGAAATGAGAGATAATGTACACTTCGTAAGTTATAAACATACATATTGATATATGTATGTGTAATGTTGACAACACAAACAATAATTCGTGTGCGACAGAAATCAAACCAATAGCTAATGCAGGTGAATGAAGCGTGATATGAGTGTGCAGACTTCGATTACTCCCAAACTGAGTGAAGAGTGCGTTCTCCTACAGAAGAATGCAAGGCACACACTCAAACAAATTCATCAAAGATAACATGATGACGCATCGCAGAGGTTTACGGGCTCCTATACAGTTGTGTGAAGTGAAACGATACAACAGAAGAGTGTAGAGTGAAATTCTTCTACAGAGGTGTGTAAAGCAAAATACCCACACAGAGGTGTGTAGAGTGATACACTCAAAGAAGTGTAAAGTGATACACTAAAAAAGGCGTAGAGTGATAAACTCGTACAGAGTACAGTGTGACTTGCGTTTGTAGAAGTCTGAGGGTGACGTGTTTATGTAAAAGTCTCCAGGGAGACTGGCTTTTGTATGAAGGTGACGTGATCATGCCATGTCGCTTTATGAAAGTGTTGGGACACCTGGATTATCTGAAACAAACATTGGCGTTCCGGGAACAGTTGATTCTTTCCTAACAGGTTCAAATGGAGTTACGTCCTTTTGTCTCTTCACATTGATGTCAAAAGGTAATGAGGCCATGATAAAACAAAGTGAAGTCCTTGGTTCAATTCTGTTTAACAATATTGGATTTATTAGTGAATATTTTGATGTTTGGACACCCTTTCAGAGGGGGTGACCTCGGTCTCTAAAATTACATGCATCATCTTGCACAGCTCATCATATTCCTTATGTCTGCTGGCTTCCAGTGCATGGGTGTGTCATGACTGCTCTTGCATCGAAACAGATCACTGCGGAATAGAAATTCAAGAAAAGTACTTTTGTGGTGGTAAAACCGCAGTATGCTTTCTCAAATCTCTTTATTCCATTACTGAAGAGGCCACAGGCCTATAGTACAAAATATAAATGCTTTCTCATGTGATGTTTCTTGTGTGTCCCCGCCGTGATGTTGCTGGAATATTGCTAAAAGCGGCGTAAAACCAAACTCAGTCAGTCTTGTGTGTCGTTGAGGCTCCACAGGATGTACTTACAACAATATAAAAAACCAGATATTGGACATCGTTAACGGACGAGGAATGTTAAAACCGACAGGCCCTACCACGTTTCGTGAAGTTGAGTAACTCATTTCATAAGGAAACTGTTTTCGTGTTATATACAAAAATACCGTTGCATATATGAGTGTAGCCATAGTTAAAGAGGTAGAAATGTGGAATGACACAGATCAGCAGCGTTGCCCCGAGAACCAGCTATACAATGACGCAGTCGCAAGCTTCAGGGCTCTCATTCTTATAAAAATCAGACGTGTCCACCATGAAAGAAAACCTTTGGGAAAGCTACGCAATCCTTTTAAGGAATGTTCTGCTAGTACGAATGTTTGCCCTGAGTTACACGTACTGCTCTTAGATACGGAGGCAAGAGTTACAATTCGTAGAGCTTGTATGTCATTTGAATATTATCCAAAATATGATTTCATTGCATTTGTTAAAAGAAAACTCTTAAGACAGAGTTGACATTTTTGGGATGAGTAGATCTACATGTCTAACAGTCAACATCAAGAAACAAATGAGGAAAAGGAGACAGACAAGACAGCCAAGGCCCAGACAGCAAACGCCCTTTGTATAATTGACAAGAACAAACATAACGCATTACGTTTTATTACTTGGCTGAACAAGAACAAGAAATTTGGGATAAAAAATTTATTACCACTTATGGCAACCAGGTTATGCGTATCAGATTGCCAGATGTTGTCATGAAGAAACTGCACGCGTCAAATGCTACCAGACAGTGTGATGACAAGGCATCGAATACATGTAGTTGATACAGATGTCATTGTCGTGGTCATTGCTTTGGGAAACATGGAATGTGTATGACGAAGCAGTAGACAACAGAGGCTTTCAATTCACATTGCTCGTGTCCTAATCGAAGAGGGTTTGGAGAACATGATGCCAGTCATTGTGTAGTTACACACGTGTGGTTGAGAGACCTATGTGAGAAACTGTTATCATATATGTCAGATCGATTTCCATGTTTGTGATTGGCTACTCCATGGTGATGACGTTAAGTCAGATTATGACGGACTATTTTCCTGATTGAAAATAATCGAAAAGTTTTCGTACTTCAATCGAACGCAGAAATGTTTCTCGTGCCATTCGTAACTACTCGTGTCATTCCTGCAAGCCGGATGGCGTCTCGTACCCCTCTCGTGGCCATGTTTACGACTGGGCCCTGTCTAAGCGCAGATGAAAATAGTCTAGTGCTATTACAAAGGAAAGATAACTCTGAATTTCCTACCATGGCTCACAGAATATCCTACATCCCGTGGGCAAAACAGCAGTACAGTCATTCCCTTTGTAAATATGTTTCAGTAATAATAACAATAGTATACATGTATATGCCATTTTTCATTACCTGCATGAGATTATGTAAGACAGGTACATTGTTTACTTAAGTCTTTATGGAGACATTTGTTATTCCGATATGTATACTCTCCCAAAAAAGAAACGCATATAGGAATTTCAACTGTATTTTTATGTTTATTTTCAAACATCTTGTAGGCTTTATGAGTCAATGACATATAGCGAAATTGCACACTGGGAATGCAGACTTATCCGTCTTTGGCACCAACTCGAGGAAAGTCAGTTTGAGTGTCACATGGAGACGTGTGGTGGCGCTGAAGTCAATACCTCGTGTGACCACCGTGGGCATCCAGAACAGCACGGTATCGCCTCGGCATCGAACAAATAAGTCTCAGAATCTCGTGTTGCCCAATCACAGCCCACTCTGCCTGTAGTGCCTGTGCGGGTTGCTGAAGTGAGGGTTACGGCGTCGCACCCGTCTGTCCAGGGCATCCCACAGATGTTCGATCGGGTTTAAGTCCGGTGATCTTGAGGGCCAGGGGAGCACATTGATGTTGTGGTTCTGGAGGAAGTCTCTAGTGTGACGTGCTGTGTGGGGCCTGGCATTGTCCTGTTGAAACAACTCCTCTGGCGATCAGTGATTGGAAGGAGGTGTGGGCGTAGGATTTCGTCACAGTACCGTTGAGCTGTCAGGTTGCCCTGGATCATCACCAAATCACTTCTCCTACGGCAGGTGATCGCTCCCCACATCATAACACTGTCCCGTCCGAATCTGTCCACCTGGGGAACGCAAGCGTCGGCGAAACGTTCACGTCGACGTCTGTACACCCGCATTCTTCCATCGCGTCGTTCCAATAGAAATCGTGATTCATCACTGAACCAGATTCTACGCCAATTCGGTAGGTTCCAGCCCTGAACGTTGGTGCACCATTGAACTCGATGTCGACGATGTTGTTGTCGAAGCACAGGGCCAAAATAAGGTCTTCTGGCACCCAAACCAGCCTCTCTCAACCTGTTCCTGACGGTCTGTGCAGAAAGCCTCCTCAATCCGGGTATTTGTCGAGCGGTACTGGTCGCCGTAGCTGTTCGATGACGCAGGTGATGTACCCGGATGTAGCGATCCTGCGCCGCAGTGGTCGCTCGAGGTCGCCCACTACGAGGGGCATCTGCTACCGCATTCTGCCGGCGATATCTCCCAGAGCCGTGAAATGGTGCTTTGGTGAACATTCATGCGTCGGGCAACTGCACGTTGAGACTGGCCAGCTTCAAGCAAACCAATGGCGATATGGCGGTTGGCTTTCACTTAGACGTGGCATTTTGCGTTCGTCAACAATATTCCAAATACAGTGAATAATCGACAGACAGCGATCAACCTTTATACCCATCATTGAGACTATCTGATCCCCAACTTTCACGTGCATTGCATGTGAATTGTATATTCTGTGACACTACACGCCGAAATTGAAAATCATGCTGTTAAATACGGGTATTTTACGGATGGTGCGTTTTGTTGTGATGTTTCAAAACATAAACACCATAGGACTCATAAACAGAGCAAAACCTTTTGTAAAATGAATCACGTTTTAATTCATTGCTACATGAAATTGCTATTTTCATGATGCGTTTCTTTTTGGGGAGAGTATATATATGAAGACGTGCGTTTATCAGATGTTTATACCGACAGATATATGAAGGCATGTGTTCATCGGAAATGTTTTGCGTATACATATACTTTGTATAATTATTGTTACAGAGTGTCTACTTCTCCTTCTTCCACTACGGAATAAAAGATATTGACCTCACAACCCGTAGCCTGTGGTTAATTACGGAGCACCACTATTTCATGGCTGCAACACAGTTAAAATGGCAGTGTCAATTAATTCTTAAGATGTGATCTGTTCCAGACTTTCAGTGACATCTTCTTTGACCAAATCGTCTCAGTACGAGCACTAAAGGTATGTCAGTCAACCTTGCCAAACTTCCATTTACGAATGGGGATGTCAATTCAGGAGTGTTAGTTTGATTTGTTATCTAAACTGACTACCGCGCTGTTAATCGTGTATTGAACACTAGAAACTCACCAATGAGTGACGGACCAATCGCATTCCCAGTGAATGGTGAATGTAACTGGCTATTGCTACAATCATTAAAGACATTTCTTCTAGAACTCTCCCTTTATGATCTTGATAAAATGAACCCCATAATGGGTTGAGGCCATTAGACCTTCCATAACCAAAAACGATTTTGATGATTGGTTTATTTACTCAGCAGCAAAAAAACCGTCAGTATGAATTCAAAATTTGATAGGCACTGTAATCAAATCATTACAGAAATGGACATAATAAGCGGATCAAAAACATTTTTTGTGAACAATATCTTGACACATCAATGAATAACTCACAAGCACAATTCCAAGACATTACTTTTGCATTCCATTCAGACTGTTGACTTCAGTATCTAGTGTGACCACCACGAGCGGCAATAACTGCAGCACAGCGTCTATGCAGGCCATTGGCCATTGGCACCTTGAAGCACACTCTGAGAAAGGCCTGGCGCAATAAATCGGCCTTGGTATGACATTTTTCAGTCTCCTTTGAATTTCATCCCAAAGATGTTCAATTGGGTTTAAATCAGGACTAAGGTCTGGCCAGGTCTGCATAATGTTGACACCGTTCTGCTGTAGGAAGTCCCGGCAGTATGGGCCCGGGCTTTATCATGCTGGAAAATGTTCCGGTGACGTGCAAAATGTGGTATGACGTGGGGTCTGAGAGCTTGTTCGATGTAGCGCACCGCTGTGATGCCGCCTCCTCTCCCTGGACCAAGGTTCTGGAACACCACAGGACCCACTCTCTGGTTCAGGCCTATTCCACCCTATGCCATGATGCTTGCACCTCCCAATGAGTCTCTTTCCATAACACATTGGTCTG